GGTGCAGCAAGCACTGACCGCGGGGAGACGTGACACGTGGGAAATAAGACATAGGATATCACTGAGTGGACACAACAGTGAATGAGATATCATGAGCACGGTTCCACACTGTCAGCATGGACAAGATGTTAACCAGATCTTGTTCTTGAGCCCGATGGAATACATCGTACCACGCTTTTTCAGTAACTGTCAGACTTGACTACAGACAACACCGACTCACTTCGCTCATGAGAAACAATCTTAGTTGTACTGAAGTGACTGACTGACTGACTGACTGACTGACTGACTGAGTTTGGTTTTACGCCGCTTTTTGCAATATTCCAACAACATCACGGCGGGGGACACCAGAAATGGGCTTCTCACATTGTACCCATGTGGGGATTCGAACCCGGGCCTTCGGCGTGACGAGCCAACGTTTTAACCATTAGGCCAACCCACCACCCCTGTACTGAAGTGAGTCGCGCTACATCCACATGGGTGTAATTGATGAAGCACCTTTGTCCCTCAACGTGATACCGCTAAACGCGGCATAAAAGCATACTCACTCAATGGAAAGAAGACGACAGATAACGACACGTTATAGCGATGTGATGACACTGCTGCACTACGTGTGGCTTCTTATCGATATCGGCGACAGTACACAAACAGTCTGATACCGTCTCCTGATTGTGTGACGTCACCTCGTGACTGTATCTTCACAAACAGTCTGATACCGTCACCTGAGTGTGTGACGTCACCTCGTGACTGTACCTTCACAAACAGTCTCATACCGTCTCCTGATTGTGTGACGTCACCTCGTGACTGTACCTTCACAAACAGTCTGATACCGTCTCCTGATAGTGTGACGTCACCTCGTGACTGTACCTTCACAAACAGTCTGATACTGTCTCCTGATTGTGTGACGTCACCTCGTGACTGTACCTTCACAAACAGTCAGTCTCATACCTCGTGACTCTCCTGATTGTGTGACGTCACCTCGTGACTGTACCTTCACAAACAGTCTGATACCGTCTCCTGATAGTGTGACGTCACCTCGTGACTGTATCTTCACAAACAGTCTGATACCGTCACCTGAGTGTGACGTCACCTCGTGACTGTACCTTCACAAACAGTCTGATACCGTCTCCTGATTGTGTGACGTCACCTCGTGACTGTACCTTCACAAACAGTCTCATACCGTCTCCTGATTGTGTGACGTCACCTCGTGACTGTACCTTCACAAACAGTCTCATACCGTCTCCTGATTGTGTGACGTCACCTCGTGACTGTATCTTCACAAACAGTCTGATACCGTCTCCTGATTGTGTGACGTCACCTCGTGACTGTATCTTCACAAACAGTCTGATACCGTCACCTGAGTGAGACGTCACCTCGAGTCCGAGTAACTATATCTCCACAATCAGGGCAGTTAATGAACCTTTTAAAACAAGTTTGTAACTCTCATTTATTCTAAGTCATATCCGAAGTCTTGTATTGGGGTGATATTATTTAGGAATCATCTAGTATGATGGGATGTGGATTTAGAAAATGATTATTCCATTCACAACCGTCGTTATGTACTTCATGCATGTGTACGCAGTGGGGGTCAAAGTTTACAGTGAAACGAGTCAGTGTTCTGCTGTACATTTCAGTGATAAAATCAAGATTGTAAGTTATTCTGATATTGTTTTAAACTCAATGAAACATTTTATGACACGGCTACCTGCAATCGGTATGTTGGAAGTTGGAATAAAAGGTTTGTGGCACGAGCTATTAACGTTTCACAGTCAGCAAGTAGCAGATTACAATCACGATATCAACAGAGAAATAGCGTTGGTGAAAGACGTCAATTTTTACTACCAAAGGCGATTACTTGCGCACACGTCCGTTTCTGTGTGACGAAAACGTGGTCAATGTACCTCTTAAATTGGTGATGAGCTGAACAGAGCTACAGGTGTTAGAATGAGAAGACATACGATTCCGAGAATATTTGGTGTGTGACTTTCACTTCTACATAAAGTGTCTGAGGCGTAAGTACAATACATTCTGGAATGCTCTTTTCCTGTTCGTTGTTTTCTTTGTGTCCATTTCTTTGTTAATTTCACTCAAGAATGAGTCAGTCCTGGCATAATTTCATTCTAGAGTGTGTCAGTCCTGGGATAATTTCATTCCACGGTGTGTCAGTGCCAGGATAATTTTACTCCAGAGTGTCTCAGTCCCAGGATAATTTCCCTCCAGAATGTGTCAGTCATAGGATAATTTCACTCCAGAGTGAAATCAGTCCCAGGACAATTTTATTCCAGAGTGTTTCAGTCCCCCGATAATATCACTCCAGAGCGTGTCAGTCCTGGGATAAGTTTACTCCACAGCGTCTCATTCGTAGGATAATTTCACTCCAGAGACAGTTAGTCTAAGCATAATTTTACTCCAAAGTGTCTCGTTCCTAGGATAGTTTCACTCTAGAGTGTCTCAGTCCTAGGAATAAGCTACTTAGGATAATTTCATTCCAGAGAGAGAGGCACCCATGTCACACAAAGTCAGCGGTCTATTCCGCTCAGCCACAGCGACCTCCATAAGAAGGCAGACCGACAATTGGTGGACTAAATCATGTACTGTTTGTATCCCTATGACGAGTGTATATTGGCATGGCTCCCATGACCGATCCTGCCACACAGTACAGTTTCCCATCCGTGTCTGAAAGACATTGTGTATTCAAAACGTTCGTTATCTATATCTTCTTTTTTTAAAATTTGAGCAAGTTTTTTTGGTCAATGTTACAGTTTTCTCCAAAATCACGTAATAAATTATACATAAATCTGCTATTTTCTAATTTCCAAAACGTTAAATGTGACCTGTATTTTACTAAAGAAGCCTTATCCCATCTATAACATTTGCTGCAGTTGGCCTCTTTATTGAAGACATTATCGGCCAACGAAAAAACAAAAGCAAAACCCGACAAAATAACACAAAAATACTATTTTCCTGTGATCCATATGGCGTTTGATTTCACCAACTTTACTCTTGTGTTGCAAATAAGTGTGTAGTCAATATTTGTTCGCGGGGTTTGTTCTTTCTTTAGCGTGTAATACGTTACAACCATGGAGTCTATTTATAGCATGTATTGGGATTATTTCTATAGATGCCTTGATTACCAACATTCCAGAATGTATTGTGCCTACGCCTCAGCCACTTTTTGAAGCATTTTCCAACAGTCTGAAGTATAATAATGAAACATACGACTTTATGGATGACAACTTCTTGTTTATGGCATAGAGCGACGTTTCGATGTAAATTCTTACACCGTTATCAAGCTAAAAGTGAGTACAACCAAATGATAAGAAGATATATATATATATATATATATATATATATATATATATATATATATATATATATATATATATATATATATATATATATATATATCAGACTGTTTGACGCCGATATCAAAATATAATATAAATATAGTGTATTATGACATGGTATATTATGACATATATATTATGTGTTGACACATAGTATGTTATGACATACAGCAGATTAACATTAGCAACGACATGTAATTGGGTATTTGATGGATGTCTATTTCTTCTGTATTGTATAAAATAAATATTGCATATTCCACCTTTTTGGAGGGTCATTGGCTTGGCGGATGGTCCTGAGGGTTGGAGAGCCAGTGAAAAGGGTGTCGATGCCTGCTTGGTGCTTAAGTAGATTTGATGGGAGGTGTTGCCGATGTAGGGAAGGGTAATTCTAATCTCCCATCAAATCTGCAGACTACTAAAGAGAGGACTGTTTCAGGATCACCCGAACCCTCTTTCGTTTATCTAAACATGATACTGACGATGTACTGCCCAATTTCCAGACAAGAGCTCAAAGCTAAATCTCGAAACAAGGTCAAAGCCACAAACACTTTTGCTGTGCCAGTTCTGTCTCGCTCCCTTTGGAACTGATGATTGGACAAGCAAGACAAACAAGTCTTGGCAGCCTCACTAACGGATCATGTCTGACCACAGAGGGTACTCTTCTGTATATACATGTATGCAAATCGGTTCGGGAGGTCGGGGTTCAATTAATGTGGAGACTCTTCTTGCGAGGTATATTGGTGAGGCATGTCAAGGCCGAGAATGAAAGCAAGGAATTCTACAAAACATTCAAGGGCACGAAGGCAGCTGGAAGTTGATTCTGTTGATGGCGATGTACTGCTAGACGGTAATGCGATGGGAGTAAACCAGATGAAGTTATTCACGATGTCTGTCAGATAAGAAGAAACTCCCTTTTAAACCACTGCACCTCGTACATATGCAGTGTGTAGGACAGAAAAACAATCCAACCGACTTCTTTGACTGGATAAAGTCGCCCCGTCTTAGAGGTGAAACCGAGGGCTTTGCTGTCCTGGGTCAGTTCCCTCACATATGCAATCGCCAAAAAGTGTAGAGTAAATGTGAGTATGAAATATCGACTATAACATGGATCCGCTGAGACTGGCCAATACCTTGTCAGCGAATGAACTGCCTTGGCAGAAACAGCATAATATTAACTGACACGAAAGTTCTTTCTATTGCCATCTTCGCCATGCTCGAGGTCCAACACTAGTCGGCGCTTCATGGCAGAAGTCCCATTTGCTGACTGGGCTGTTTTCAGACGGGGCAAGGGAACATAAAGGAAGGTGAGCCTAACCAGCCTGTGAAAACAGACATCCAATCTCTCAGTGCAGTATTGTATTTTTGTATCTACAAAACAACAATACTAATGCACACATTGAGTTCAGTCATTATCCCTCACACTGATTCAACGAACATTCCTTGTGCTTTCCCAGCTCCCTGTTTTACAATGGCCCACAAAAACATTCTCCCAACTACGCCATCGTTAAACATCAGATACCATTGAGATTCAAGGACGTGATACGTTGTAACAGCATATTATCGCATATTGATATATAACTAGACGTTATATTAGGTGAACTTTGGTATGGAGACTACTGCTATCGATGAACGATAACGCAAGTTTGCCTCCCATCAGACTCACACCAGGCCGAAGTCACTGACCAAGGAAGGAAGATGGCGTTAGCAGTGGCAGTGCTGTTTGTGGCCTTTCTTGCTGCAGGTATATATGCATAAAGCATCTCCGTCAGATAGTTGAATGAGTTCAGTCACCGGATTGTCGGATACAAACTCACATCTGTTCAGACAGCAGCAGCATAGCTTCGTGGAATGTTGCCAAGTAGTAAAGGTTACTAATAAATCTAAAACGCCCACTGTTGCAAAGAGACATGTTTGTTTCTTGTTTCACACTTCATAAATTGACATATGTTGGACCAGACATAAAATTGCCATACGTCAATTGCGTTCCTTGCGAAAACTGTTCCCGATTGTCAGTTAAGGTGGTTTGCTTAAACATTGTAGTATGTGAGTTTATATCGAAGGATGGATAGATTGGAAAGAGTTCAAATTCCACCTAGCCCTTTCAAGATGTTTCACTTGTCTTCTCTGTCTGGATATATAGGCTTAATACTTAAGGTGTTCCAGTCCAATGATGAAATATATGGGTTACAGTCCATCGTCTAACATATGTGTTTCTGTCCAGTGATCTAATATACGTGTTTAGGTTCACTGATCTAACATGATCTAACCTATGTCTTACAGTCCAGTGATCTAATATACGTGTTTAGGTTCACTGATCTAACATGATCTGACCTATGTCTTACAGTCCAGTGATATGATATACGTGTTAAGGTCCACTGATCTAACATGATCTCACCTATGTGTTCCAGTCCAGTGATATGATATACGTGTTTAGGTCCACTGATCAAACATGATCTGACCTATGTGTTACAGTCCAGTGATCTAATAGAGGTGTTTAGATCCACTGATCTAACATGATTTAACCTATGTGTTACAGTCCAGTGATATGATAAACGTGTTTAGGTCCACTGATCTAACATGATCTGACACATGCGTTACAGTCAGGTGATATGATATACGTGTTTAGGTCCACTGATCTAACATGATCTGACCTATGTGTTCCAGTCCAGTGATATCATATACGTGTTAAGGTCCACTGATCTAACATGATCTGACACATGCGTTACAGTCAGGTGATATGATATACGTGTTTAGGTCCACTGATCTAACATGATCTGACCTATGTGTTCCAGTCAAGTGATATGATATACTTGTTTAGGTCCACTGATCTAATATGATCTGACCTATGTCTTACAGTCCAGTGATATGATACACGTGTTCAGGTCCACTTATCTAACATGATTCGACCTATGTGTTACAGTCCAGTGATATGATATACGTGTTAAGGTCCACTGATCTAACATGATCTCACCTATGTGTTCCAGTCCAGTGATATGATATACGTGTTTAGGTCCACTGATCAAACATGATCTGACATATGTGTTACAGTCCAGTGATCTAATAGAGGTGTTAAGATCCACTGATCTAACATGATTTGACCTATGTGTTACAGTCCAGTGATATGATAAACGTGTTTAGGTCCACTGATCTAACATGATCTTACCTATGTGTTACAGTCCAGTGATATCATATACGTGTTTAGGTCCACTGATCTAACATGATCTGATATATGTGTTTCGGCCTAGTGATCTAATATACGTATTTAGGTCCCCTGATCTAACATGATCTGACATATGTGTTTCGGTCTAGTGATCTAATGTACGTGTTTAGGTCCACTGATCTAACATGATCTGACCTATGTCTTCCAGTCCAGTGATCTAATATACGTGTTAAGGTCCACTGATCTAACATGTTCTGACCTATGTGTTCCAGTCAAGTGATCTAATATGCGTGTTAAGGTCCACTGATCTAACATGATCTGACCTATGTCTTACAGTCCAGTGATATGATATATGTGTTTAGGTCCACTGATCTAACACGATCTGACCTATGTCTTACAGTCCAAAGTCAGCTGTACGATCCTCTGTACAAAGAACTGAAATCACGAGACACGAAAAACACCATCCCCGTCAGCTCTAAAGGCGACACACTCAACGTGACCATCAACTTGACCGTATTGAAGATATCATCGCTGGTGAGTGTCCTTGATGACGAGGGTGGATTGCTTTGGATTCAGGTGTATGCCAGATAAAACAGGCCTTGATTGTGGATAAACCCAGTTTCGATTCAATAAATGTATTATTGTTTCCAGAACTTGAGAACAGGGGACGCGGAACTCGACACATGGACCCATTATGCGTGGTTTGACAACAGACTGACTTGGGAGCCCTCGGAATACGGAGGAATTCCTCTTATCAGACTCCCTCCCTCAGATATATGGCGCCTTGACATTGTTCCCTACCTAGGGTGGGTATATTCGTTGACTAGCTGACGCTTTAACCACCCACCTTCCCTATCAATTTAATTGATGAAACAAACATATATATATATATGTTCATTTTGACATTACTGTCTGAAAGTGTAAAACTTTCTACTTATTGCTCTCTCGCTCCCCACCCCCCTCCCTTCCTTCCTTCCTTCTCCTTGATTGGACCCCCAATGCATCTAAGTTGGGTTGGTTAGTTATCGCTCAAAGAATCCTTAATACATAAATGATGAAATCCCTCCTTGTCTTTCATTGAATCCCAAATACATCCATGGTGAGTGAGTTCCTTGTATTTCATTCTAAACCCAATACATCCATCATGGGTTGGTTCGTTGTCTTTCATTGGATCCCCAATACATCCATGATTAATCCCTTCCTTGTCTTTCATTGCATCCCCAATACATATGTCGAACGTCATACTAGTGCATTTGGATGTTTTGTATTGAATGAAAATATGTCATGGGAGAAGAGAAACAACGAGTTCGAAACATCCAAATGCACTAGTTTGACGTTCTATATTCATTATATACCATCTTATCTTGCATTAATCTGTTACTAAATAAAACAAATCATAGCTTAGCAATGTAGAAACGGCAGGGTAATACGGAATCTGGGGTGCAATACGGAATTTGACCACGGCATCCCTATTGCACCCTGTATTACTATCCTACCTTTACATGAGTATATAATCAATCCATGATGAACGAGTTCCTTGTCTTTGTTTCAGACATGCTGATGTCACAGATGCCTCCGTGGGACTCTGTCTATATACCACCCACAATGGACTACTCATCTGACGGCACTGACCTGTTCGGTGAAGATTGGATCCTGGACGTATAGCGGGAACATCATGGACGTCCAAAACAAGACCTCCGAGATTGACGTCTCAGAGTACTACCATGATGATCAATGGGACATCATCGAACATTCCATGCGGAGAACTGTTGCCTACTACAAATGTTGTCCCGAACCCTACCCTTCGATCATTGCCACCATGACTTTGAAGGCTAAAAGACATGGTCTTTTGGGCTGGAGTATGTTTCACTGAATAGGATGCAGTTGTTTTCCAAATAAGGCATGAATGTGATTTAAACTTGATTAATAAGAAAGTAAGAATATTTATGGATAACAACTTCTTTATTATATATGATGCGACGTTTCGGTATGGATTCTTATACCGTTGTCAAGCAAGAGTGAAGTACTACAGCACAGACCAGGCTTATATACATGAACAGGGATTAAGTAATAACAACATGTAGGACTGAATGAGGGGGATTAACAATAACAACAAGGCACGGTGGCAATAATGTAGTGACAATAGGAAGCCAATGGTGGTTGATGTAAAAAACAAAATATACATGCTGATGAGATTAATTAACAATGATGGCTGAGGTGCTCTAATCTGTTGTTTTTATGAGATCATTGTATGCAGAAGGGATGAGATATCCCTGGTCTCTGTTGATTGAGGGCTTGTGTCTCCGGATTTGAACTGCTTCTGCAAGTTTCCTTTGGTGAAGTCCTGGTGGTTTTTGGATAATATGTCCACATTGTCCCAAATTATGTTGTGATTGGGGCAGTTGATGATGTGGTCTGATAATGCCGATTTTCTATCAGATTTAGTGGTAGATGATAAGTGTTCTTTGATTCGGATATTTATGGGCCGGAGGTTTCGCCTACATAGGCCTCGCCACAGTCACAGTTGATTTTATAGACAACACCTTTGGGTTGATGTTGTCGTTTAGAGGTGTTCCTGCCATTCGCTTTCAGTAGGGTTTTAGTGGTGTAGAGCTGGTAAAGTAGGTTTCGATGCCTGCTTCTCGCTTGAGGAGACGGCTGATGTGGTGAGAGGTTTTCCCTATGAAGGGGAGGAGATACGAATAGGTGCTGGTTCAGGTTTGTTGGAGGCCGGTTTTCTTGTTGGGTGGAGTGTGGTGCTGATAATTTTATCGACTAGTTTCGACGGGTAGTGGTTGAACTTGGTGAAACATGGCGGAGGTGCTGTATTTCTGTAGTGGGACTGGTGGAGGAAAGGTTGATGGCTCGTCTGGTGAGGGTGGAGATAATGCCAGTTTTGGTTCTCAAAGGGTGGTTGGAGTCAAAATGAATGTATTGGTCGGAGTGGGTTGGCTTTCTATAGACACTGGTACGGATCTTGTTGGCTGGAGTTCTGGTTACAAGGACATCTAGAAAGGGAAGTTGACCACTGGATTCTGTTTCTAAGGTGAATTGGACCCGGGGGTGCTGTTGGTTGAGGTGTTGCAGGAGGGCTGCTGGGTCTTGGTCTTGCCGAAGGATGACAAACGTGTCATCGACCTTCCTGTACCAGCAGGTTGGTTTGATGGTTGAGGTGCTGAGTGCTTGCTGTTCGAAGGAGGTCATGTAGATTTCTGTGAGTATTGGGGACAGAGGGGAGCCCATGGGCAGGCCGTGGATTTGTTCATAGTAGTCGTCTCCCCAGGTGAAGTAAGTGGAGGTGATGCAGGCAGAGGTGAGGGCAATGATGGAGTCAGTGGTGAGGTTGGTGTCAAGGGGAGTTTCTAATTCAGAGATGCGTTGGCGGAGGATTTGGAGAGTTTCTTCTATGGGGACACTTGTGAAGAGGTCCACAACATCGTAACTCAGGATCTGGTCTGCTTCAGTTATTTTGAGGAGTTTGTTACAGAAATCCGTCGAGTCAGAGATGTAGGAGTCCGCTGTTTTACCGAGTGGGGCAAGGATTTCCGTTAGGTGTTGGGCGGTACTGTAGAACACAGTGTCTCTGGAGCACACAAGCAGTCTGGCCTTGGGTGGGGTCTTGTGGATTTTTATCGTGGCTCTGGCATACGGTGGCTGTGGGTTAGATGTGGCTAGTTTGTAATATAGTTGCTGGCTGATTTCGTACTTCTCTTTCAGTTGTTTGAGGCTGGCTTTATGTTGGCGGCTGAGAGTTTGGCGGTGGGGTCTTTCTTGATCTTGCGGTAGGTGGTTGGGTCATGGAGGATCTTGTTGACCATGCTGTGAAAGTCCGGTGTGTTCAGGATGACTGTGGCCTTGCCCTTGTCGGCTGGGGCAATGGTGATTTCCTTGTCGTTTCGTAGGTGATGGATGGCTTGTTTTTCGGCAGCTGTGAGGTTGGGTGGTTGGGGGCTGGCTTTGGCAAGGATGTCCACGGTGTAATCTGGTGACGTAAGTAATCAATCTTACCTCCTGGCGCTAGTTGTTGGAGGCCCTTTTCAATGTTGGTGATGACATCGTCGTGGTTGCGGAGTGGTGTGGTTGGGATGAACTTTAGTCCCTTGGAGAGTACGTTGACCTCCTGTTCAGTGATGTTTTTTATCACTTAGGTTGACAACAGTCTTTCTGAGATAGTTGGATATGTTGGCGGCTTTCTTGGAACTGGGCTTGGGATGGCTATTCACTAGTTCTTGAAATTTTTTATGTGATTGGTCTTGGTCTTCAAGCACAACATGGAACACCTCTAAACGACAACATCAACCCAAAGGTGTTGTCTATAAAATCAACTGTGACTGTGGCGAGGCCTATGTAGGCGAAACCTCCCGGCCCATAAATATCCGAATCAAAGAACACTTATCATCTACCACTAAATCTGATAGAAAATCGGCATTATCAGACCACATCATCAACTGCCCCAATCACAACATAATTTGGGACAATGTGGACATATTATCCAAAAACCACCAGGACTTCACCAAAAGGAAACTTGCAGAAGCAGTTCAAATCCGGAGACACAAGCCCTCAATCAACAGAGACCAGGGATATCTCATCCCTTCTGCATACAATGATCTCATAAAAACAACAGATTAGAGCACCTCAGCCATCATTGTTAATTTATCTCATCAGCATGTATATTTTGTTTTTTACATCAACCACCATTGGCTTCCTATTGTCACTACATTATTGCCACCGTGCCTTGTTGTTATTGTTAATCCCCTCATTCAGTCCTACATGTTGTTATTACTTAATCCCTGTTCATGTATATAAGCCTGGTCTGTGCTGTAGTACTTCACTCTTGCTTGACAACGGTATAAGAATCCATACCGAAACGTCGCATCATATATAATAAAGAAGTTGTTATCCATAAATATTCTTACTTTCTTATTAGTCACCAACTTCTAAATGCCAATCAAATGTTTATGTGTAAAGTGTGTATCCGTGTATGTTTGTTTGTGTGTGTGCGTTTAGATGTGTTCAACATTCCTGGAGAAGAGAGTGCATTGTCATACATGTTCTGCTCACCTCCCTTCCTCCAGCTCTCATCACTCTATACCACCGATTTCACTGAGTTGACAACAGTGGTTGATATTATGAGCACGGTTCCACACTGTCAGCGAGGACAAGTTATAAACCAAGTCTTGTTCCAGCGAACAGTCACTTCGAGACTGTATCTCCACAAACAGTCTCATACCGTCTCCTGATTGTGTGACGTCACCTCTAGACTGTGTCTCCACAAACAGTCTGATACCGTGTCTTGAATGTATGACGTCACCTCTAGACTGTGTCTCCACAAACAGTCTGATACCGTGTCCTGATTGTATTACGTCACCTCTAGACTGTGTCTCCACAAACAGGCCGACACCGTCTCCTTGTGTGACGTCACCTCCAGACTTTTTCAGCCATATAGGAAAGAGAGAGATTAGGGAGGTTACACCTTTTGCCGGACGTTGAATGTCTGTTTCAGAACATAAACGATTTGACGTTAAAAAACAATATGCCGGAACTACTTCATTCATGTTTTCAGTTCATTCACTTTTTTACATTCAAACTCTGCTGTACACGAGAAAAGAAAAATAATGACTCAATAAACATTAAGTTTTGTGTATTTATAAATACATCACTGTAAACTCTTGGATAAAACAATTGTAGAAGAAAGAAAAACACAATGTTGCAAAACGTAATACAATACGTCTACTGAAAGAAATCAATGTTTTTGGTGACGTCACAACTTGTGATGTCATGGCCCATCCTTGCTCTGTTGTCGATGTAAACAACATGGCGTCTACCCTATCACCAATAAAACTGAACGTTGATGGCAGCATGTTGGGAAGAGTTGTAGATATTGTTCAGCCACTAAACACGTTCAATGGGTTTGTTAAGGTGAGATGCAAGCTCCCAGGTCTGTCATCCGTGTTGTGCCTGAGAACGTCAGGTCTCGCTTCCAAATGAACCACTCACACCCAAATTTGATTAAATAGTTTTTGTTTGCAATTATTAATACACAGTTCAAGCATGCAAGTACAGAAAACACATATGTGTTACTATTTAAGAATCTATACAGTTCAATTAGTTGAGGAAAACACATTTTGCTAGGAAACTATTTAGTCTCGCGTAATATACCCGTTAAAGATAGCGGTGATGCGGTGAAATTCTTGGAAGTGAAGTCGCCGAGCTCGAGAATTCCATAATTAATATAACGAGGGAAAGATATTCTGTCTGTATGTTCTTCTGATCAAAAATACGCTATTTTCGGATACCCTGCATTTATTTATATTTTCTGTTGAGTTTCCTTTTGTCACAGTATAATGACAGTTCGTTGTAAGCTTTACAATGTTTTACAGGCTCTTCAGGTTCAAGCTGAAATTCAAATACAAAACCCCAGCTTAGTCTAATATCTAGCAAACAAATTTAAGTTTACTGAGTTTACCATAAGTATTGTTACTAAATGAAATCATTTAGGCCTTACTGCCATAATTATGAATTTACATATAGTTGCAAGCAAGGATGATGGCTCCTTGGCTTCAGTTCTATCTATGGTATTTGTTGGCTAGAAATCATCGTCCAAAACGGAGCCAGAACACGACGTTTCGAGACCATTCCAGGTCCCTTGCATGCTTTTTTGAGA